TGGTACAAGCTGCCAGGGGGAGGGCGTGAATAGGGGGAACACAAACCTACCTCGCTTTTGACCACCCTCGCTTCCAAGAGATACCAAGCGATGCCAAACTACGGCCTGTACTGGTCAGGTCGCTTGACGAGGAGGCGCGTGGTATGACTTGGTTTCTCCTGGAAGCGAAAGCGGGGTAGGTAATTCACGCTCTGAGTGAATGCATTCCAGATCGTTGCGAGCCGTGCCTCCAAGAGCCAGGCCCCCAGATGCCTTCTGGAAGCCTCTGACGCCACTCCCCGTCCCCCCCATCATCCCCAAAGACCCCCTCCCCCCTTCCTCCCCTTGCCCCCTCCTCCCCTCGTGCCCCGACATGGTGGACGGAGCAGGCGACCCTCCGCCCCCGACCGGCAACAACCGGGGGAACCATGCCCCTTACCACCCCCCCCTCATTCGGGGAATCGCTCGCAGCAGAGATCTCTCGAGAGGAGTGTCGAAGCCGATGGGTCCCCCCTCTCCTGTGTTTCTTCTGCTGCTGCACCAGTTTAGCCGTCGGGCCTCGCGGGCCCCCTTCCAGCAAACGGGGTGAAGCTCAGAATCACACATGGAGCTGCTGAGCACGTGTGGCCAGCTCCCGAGGACGCACGCTGAGATCCTGCCAGCTTCCTCAGGCCTTCCGCCAGCGGCATGGCCTATATCTTACCTCCGCAGGCCTCCCGTCGCCTCCCGCAGGGGAAGAGGACGCCAACCTCGCGAAGGCTGGACAAAGAATCGGTGCTGGGAGGGGATCCCGGCCACCTTGGAGACCCGGCAAATTCGCCGGCCCAACGGGCCAGAGGCGTGCTAAGATCTCCGGTAACTGGTTAACAATTGTATTGTACTAGTTCGCGCGCGCGGGGCGGCCCCTGGGGGTCCCCCGGCGAAAAGTACCCCGCCCGCCGCCTGGCAAGGTCCCGCCCGGTTCAACTCAGAGATGGTTTTCCTTCTGGGTGCGGCCTCTCAGGCCGCCCTGAGCGCGCCAAGAGTGCCCCAAGAGGCCCCCAAGACTGCCCAAGAGGCCCCCGAGACGCCCAAAGAGCGCTCGAAGACGCCGAAGATGACCCCAAGACGGCCCAAAAGGCCCCCAAGACAGCCCAAGAGGCCTCCAAGACGCCCCAAGAGCCTTCCAAGAGGCCTCCGAAGAGAGCCCCAAGAGGCCAAAATCGTTGATTTTCATTGTTTTTTTCGATGTTTTTTGTGTTCTGGCTTTTTCGGCTTCCGGACGCTCCAAGACGGCCCAAGAGGCCCCCAAGACCGCTCCAAGACGGCCCACGAGGCTCCCAAGACGGCCCCGGAACGGCCCAGGAGGGCCCCCAAGACGGCCCAAGTGCCGCCCAAGACGGACCAAGAGGCCCCAAGACGGGCCCAAGAGGGGCTCAAGAGGGGAACCGAGAACTGAAAAATCGAGCCCTCCGCCCCAGAAGGCGCCCAGGAGGCCCCAAAAAGGCCCCAAGAGGCCCCCAAGAGGCCCCCAAGACGCCCCAAGAGGCGCCCAAGAGGCCCAAAAGAGGCCCCAAGAGGCCCCAAAACGGCCCCCAAAACTCGGCTAGCCCACAACGGTGCGACAATATGGGCCGGCGGAATGAGCGAAGCGATTAAATAAAAAGAGTTTTCCACCAATGTGGCGCCCGCAGTCCCGCTCGTCTGCGGCGGGGTGCACGGAGGCTAGCGCGAGGCTGTCCAACCGTTTCGCGGACCACGCGAAGGCGAGGCCATCGCCGGACCACTCTGCACGTATACGATGCCCTTCCCAATGGTCTGCCGCTCAACCTCCGCCCACCTTCCGCCAGCTTCCGCCAGAAGACCCGCCGCCGTTGAACTCCCCCTCTCCCGAACAGCACGCCCACGAGTCCAGGAACAGGCGTTTCGTGGCGCGCCTCGCTAAAAATTCTGCCGAAGCCGGCGCGGCGGAAGCGCTTTGGATAGCGTCGGGAGGCCACCAAAAGAAAGCACGCACGGGAATTGCCGCTTACTTCCGCCAGCTTCCCTGTGTTGCGCACACTGCGCCCTCTCGTCCCTCTCCCGCTCACGACCTCCTCTTGTTCACTGCTCGCTCACTACTCGGTTTACTTCCAATGGTTGATCGCTACTCTCCAGCTCAAGGGACACTTCTGCAGGGGCACTTCAACGACCGCACAACTGCGCGGCGCAACGCAACCATCACACCGAACCCGTGCCCTACGACATTGGTGTGGGGGGTGTCGGTGTGTGTGTGTGTGGATGTGTGTGGTGCGTAAATGTGTGAATGTGTGCAAGTGTGAAAATGTGAATGTGTGTGCGCCGACCCCGCCTCCACGCCCCCCCTCGCGGGGAGCGGGGATACAACCACACGTAAAATCGAGAAACCGATCACGCAAGACATCTGGGCCAGCTTTCGGCAGCTTCTTAAGGCAAGCCTGGGCCAACTTCTGCTGTGAACGCTGGGGGGGCGAACGTGCTCGAGAGAAACTGGGCCGGCTTTCCAGCAAGCTGGTCAAGAGAC